ATCCTTGGTTTTTTGGACTCTTTTTCTTCTCGTTCTGATTGCTTGTTTTTTTCTTCCTTATGTTTCAAATCATTGATTTGATTCTTGGCTTCAATCACTCTGCTGTTGTTTCCCTGTAGATTGTTCTTTATTTCAATTAGTGCATCCTCTGTTTCTGATTGGGTCTTTTTTATGCTGTTGATGTCCTCACCAAATTCCTCAAGCATCCTTTAACCAGTGTTTTTAACTCTGCATCTGATAGATTGCTTATCTACATTTTGTTTAGCTTTTTTCCTGGAGTTTTGATCTGTTCTTCATTTGGGCCATGTTTTCTTGTCTCTTCATTTTGGCAGCCTTCTGTTTGTTTCTATGTATTAGGTAGAGCTGCTTTGACTCCATGTCTTGGTAGTATGGCTTAACGTAGTAGGTGTCCTGTAGGGTCCACTGGTCCAGCCTCCCCTGTCACCCAAGCTGGGTACTCGAGGTGTGCCCTGCATGCGGGCTGAGTACACCCTCCTCTTTTAGTTGAGCCTTGGTTGCTGTTGGCAGGTCAATGGGAAGGATTTACCCAGATCAGTCAGCTGCAAGGACTGGCTGTGACCACTGACCACCAACCTCCGCCCTCTATGGAGGATCAGTTGTGCAGGGGCTGGGTGGTGGTGCTCTGACGTGGCCTGTAGTTGCTGACTGGGTGCATAGGCTCTGGGAATCCCCAGGCAGTGTAGGGCAAGTTCAGTCCTCACTTCTGTTTTTCTGGGGGCTAAAGTGCCTGAGCTGTAAAGCAATCTGAGATGGCTGCTACTTTTGTTGGGCTAGGAGGTTCCCAGGTGAAGCCAAGCTGTGAACCTAGGTTGGCTGCTACTAATACCAGGCCTAGGGCTCACTAAGGACAGCTATTGTTTGTTTGAGAGGGTGTAGGAAGTTGTGAAGTGTGAGCCAACACCAGCCATTCATATGGAAAAACAGGCTGGGTGGGCCCCTAAGTTGGGTGGGGTGGAGTCTCTGGCCCTCTCCTACGCAAGTCAAACACTTTAGCCAGGTTGGTGGAGTCTCAGATACCACACGAGTTTGTGGGGCTCTGTGGGAGGAGGGTTTAGAAAAGTGACAATGGCCTCTGCTCGCCTTGACGCTAGGCACTTTGTGTTCTCCCTGTGCACCACTGGTGCCCCTTAAGCTGCCACCTCGAGCTGGAGTTCAGAGGGAGTGAGTCTGAGGCAGTGAGTCTGTGTGTGAGTAGAGAAACTCCCTGGGGCTCCAGCAGTTCCTTCCATGGACTCAGCCCCGCTGGTTTTTGTAGCCAGTGTGGGGACTTATCTTCCTGGAACCTTGGGCTGTGGGGCCTGGGACTCCTTGCTCCCCAGATATCCCTCCTGAATCTTTATCCACCACGTGTGGGTGTGGGATCTGCCTCTTCTGCACTTGTGCTCCTCCTACCAGCCCGTATGGATGTGGTTTCTTTAATTCTGTAGTCAGACTTCCATTCAGCTCAATTTCTGATGTTTCTGAGTGATGGCTGTTCTATATTTGAGTTGTAATTTTGATGTGGTTGTGTGAAGAGGTGAGCCATGTCTGCCTACATCACAATCTTGACCCGAAGTCCCCAGATTTTCCTTTAGACTGTGTGCAAGATTTCGGTAGCCAAGCTTTCCATGACTAGACTATCCCCTTCGCTGTACCTGCAAGTGCCACAGGCCTCTTCCCTATCTTTCTTGGGTACCTGGTATGGGCCAGGTATTCTTGGCATGGTGACAGGTGCATCATGTTATTCTCATTAGTCAATGATATTATAATTATTTTGATGAGGTCAGGTTAACTGTCTAGTATCTTCAGCTAGTAAATGGCAGAACTTGCCTGACCCCAAAGCCCACACTTGATTTACTTTGTTTTCTATGTTAAATCCAGAATCCCACCTCCATTTTCTCACCCCATCCTCCCAGTTCAACCTTCAAGAAATCAACTTTTCACAGAATGTGTTCAGTTCTTGTTAGAGAAGTATCCCACCAAAACACAGCAAAGACCTGCTTCTGGCCTCCTCCCACCACTTGTTATATTTTTCGCTGACTGAAAAGCCCTTCTTCATTCCAAATTCCACACAAGAGACAAGGCCCACATTTTCTAATTGGTTTCTCTTCACTTTCACTGTATGATGATCTTCTCTCCTCCTGGGAATAGAGTTCCTTAAAGGCAGAACATATCCTAAGGGGTTGTTGCAATATTGTGATTGTATTTGTCTTCATTATCACAGCCCCCAGAACCTTTGGAATTTCCTAAGTCTAGAAAGCGATAAAGGCGTTTTGTTAGGCAAATGAAATGACTTTTGGACCCTCCTCAAGTGTAGGGGTTGGTTACCAGAAGAACCTCCATAGAAACCCAGAGGACAACTTAGTTGGCCTTTTTGGGGGAAGCTTTCTCACTGGAGAATCAGAAGGCTTCTATGTGCCACTTTCACGGGAAAGGCAATGGGCTCAGAGCAGGTCTGCCTTGGGCCAGCTAGTAGTGTGTGGGTTCTTGACGTCATGTAGGAAATAGTTCACAACACAGGTCCAGGTGATTTTGAGAGTACATTGATTAAAGCTGGGGGCAGTGAAACGAAGGAGGGCTTAGGGTAGAAGCAGCAATGGAAGAGAGCCTAGGCAGTGCTCTGCTTCGGCTCTCTAGGAATGTTATAGGAAAGGAGTGAGCCAAAGTGGGGCTGCTGTTAGCTAATTGTAAAGTCAGAGAAAAGGGGGTACTGGAGACAGGTTCAAGGGGTAAGCCCAGAATGAGCTGCCGCTGGCCATTGCTCTCCTGGTGTCTTGCAGCCTTTCAAGGCTGGGCAGGTTCGCACGGGATTCAGGCAGACAGAAGAAAATTTGCAGAGCCGTGACATGCCTTTATTCGAGGGTTGGGTGATCCATGTGTGCCGCAAGCTGTGTGTTCACTGTGGGAAGTCCCAACTCCCTTATATACTAGATGCACACAAAGCCAGCAGGGTGCTAAGATATTATATAACAAAGTGCATTTCTGCACATGCAGGCCCATTCTCAAGGCTATGGGAATACTGCTTGTTCTGAAGGTTATGGGAATACAGCTTATCAGGCCCAGTGAGGGAGCCTGACTGACTCTGTTTCCCCTATAACTGGTTACAAGTGCCGTGGGGTCCTTCTGAGTTTTGGAGAGAGAAGTAAAGACGTGCACACCTGAGAGAGGAGAAAGGCATGGGCAGGCTCCCAAGATACGTAGGTAGTGCTTAAAGATTCTTATCTGTTTTCTAAAGGCCAGAGTTTTAGAGGAGGATCTCAATAGAATATTCACCAGACTTTTTTCCCAGACTTTATCCTTCCTTGGGTGTGGCTGGCACAAATGACACTAATTGGGTTTCTGTTATCTCCCTGAGTAGGGTGATTTAAGCTATTTGACCTCTGTTTCGGGAGGAGAAGGGTAAACCATTTACTCTTAAGTGTCCTTGGTTACAAGAGATAAGATTTTGCCATTTAGTAGATGGCTGTAAAGGGCTTGGCCATTTCACTACCTGTGTCAGTTTCCCTTGTCCACTTGTCTTGGCTTACTAACCAGTCTCATCGCCACGCGGGGCTCGAACTCCACGAGGACAGAGCTCCTTGCTCTGGACTTCAAACCACGTAGCTCTCCACCTGGCTGTTGATTTGTGTCCTTTGTAATATATCCTTTTTAATTAATTGGTAATTTATTAAATTTATTGAAAATATTATTCTTTTAAATAAATTGGTAATTCAGTAATTGGGTTTTCCTGAGTTGTATGAGCTGTCTAGTCTAACCAGAGAAGGGGTTTGTCAGAACTTCTGATTGGTCAGAAGCACAGGTGACAATCTGAGCTTGTAGCTGGCACCGGAAGTGGAGGGCAGTCCTGTGGGACTCGGCCCTTTCTCTACTCTTGGGGTCACATTGTAGCCCTAGGTAGGTCGTGTCAGAATTGAGTTGCATTCTCAGACACCCTGCTTGTGTTCGAGAACTGTTAGTGTGGGGAGCATGCGCACACCCATTGAAACTGCTGTCTGGGAACTCTTTTCAGTTCTCATAATACTTAACCTGGTGATATTCCTTATAAAAGCACATTAGTGCATATTATTAGCTTAGTAATAAAACACTGATATATTGCTAATTCAGAATCTCCGTGTTTCAGAGGTACTGATACAAACAACAAGCAATCACTGTGTTGTAGTTAAGGTGTAAGAAGTCCGAATCTGATTGGATTGAAAAATATACTCTGAAAACACTGGAGACCATCTGTTTGCTTTAAGCACATCTCTGATATCAAGGTGTCATCGCTGCCCTTGTCAAACACTGAAATAGTGAAATTAAATACCATTAGTTGAAAATTTACAAAGATTTATGACTTACTATGAGCTGATGCTTAAATGTTCCAATTACGTGCACTTGGGCAAATTAACCTCCCTAAGCCTTTCCTTATTATTAAATTGGGATTAAATATTGCTACCTCAGCCCTGACAGGTGCGGCTCAGTTGGCTGGGCATTGTTCCACAAGGCAAAAGGTCGCGGGTGCGATGCTCGGTCAAGACATATAGGACAGGCAACTGATCAATGTTTTCTCTCACATCAATGTTTCTCTTCCCTGCTTTCTTCCTCCTCCCGCCTCTAAAAATAAATAAATAAATAAAATCTTTTTTGAAAAATAGCTACCTCATAGGATTATAGGTAATATATATGCAAAGCACCTAGTACAGTATTTAACAACATATGATAAGTGGTATCTATCTCCAGAAATATTAGTTAAGATGAAACATTTCAAATGATATTTTATAACAATTTCAGCTATATTTAATGATAAAAATCTTCCAAGTACTATGTATTTAAAAAGAAATGAATGTATAGTGACAGACTTACTGTGATCACTTCATAAGGTATATAAACATTGAAATACTATGGTATACACCTGAAACTAGTATAATATTGTAACTAAAATAAAAATAAATTTTTAAAAAGAAATTAATGACAAGATGATCCTTAATGAAGCCTAGGAATGAAAAGTGAATGCCGAGCACACTGACCGTTTCCCTTCCTCAAAGGCAATGGACACAGGGCAGGCTGATGAGGACTTTTGGCCTAAGCGCCAAACTGCAGCAGCAGCCGCTTTGATTTTGGTGGATGCGACACAGCTTCTTTCAGCATTAACCTTCACAAGTAGTGAAAATCCACAAACCGAAGTCTCAAGTGAGAACTCCCAAGAACATCTGTGTTTGGCAAGCATTTTTTTTTTAATTAACAAAAGACACTGAAACAGTCAAATTCAAATGAACTGTGAGACTCAAAAAGTTCCAGTTTCTAAGTTGCCAAATCAACACATAATGGAAAAATTCAATGACATTTAAAAATGTAAGATTAATTCTTTTCATTGAGTTCCTCTACTTGTGTTGGCAAATAGAGAGAGCGACGTAACTGGTTCAGGGATTCTTTAGCCTGTCAAGGAGAAAAAGAAAAAATTCCTAATCAGAGAACAGGGAAAACATCAGCATGCCTGCTGGAGAGGAAATGTCTCCATCAGTACATATTCTAAACTACTAGTGACAAATGCCTGCGATATTTCAATTTAAAGGATCCTGTCTTAAAAGGGGAGTTCAAGTTTCTAATACATACTTACAGTTCTTGTTATGTTAGTTTCCCCTTTTATAATGGTTTTTCCATTTCAAATTAAAAAAAATAAAAACCCACTCTGTGACTTGTCAGCTTCCCTTTTTTCCTCAACTTTATTACCTTAAAAAAAAAGTTTACAGAGTGCTACTTTAAGTCTTGAATGCCCAGTGCTATAAACTAGGTGGAAACATTCCTCAGCCTTCTTGGATTGGATCATTCAAATAGAAGAGCATCCCCTAAGTTTTTTTAAAATGCATCACTATATTTCTCCTAAGTACTGAGTATATGAAATTAAAAGAAATCTTTTAAATCTCTTTAACTCCAATTTTGGGACTACAAGTTTAATTTTAATAATATCTTTCTTATAAATTGAAAAGGTACAGCTATCAAAAGATATGATGATTACTGGCTATTAAATGAGGATACATGGAGCAGTGGAAGATATTTTTAACTGACCTTTTTTCTTATAAAATTACTAAGAAAAGTTTAAAATCTAGTTACGTCTTGAGAAGTCACCATATGAACAAGCTAATGAGTCCACTGGGAGGCAGAGATAAAAGCTGCCTAAGAAACAGGCTCCGGAGACAAACCCTTGGTTTCATGCCCTGGTTTCCCCACCTTCCAATGGTATGCAACTCAGCAAGTGACATTAAGCACCTCCAATTTCTCATGTGACAGATAGAAAAGGTTAAAGGAGGAATACCATATTGATTCTTCTATTTTTAAGGAGAAAAAAATCTGCAAATGCTTTTAGAGAGCTTAAAAAAATGATCAGTGTCTACCTTCCTAAAATTCTTTCTTTATGTTTTTAATAGATTACAAATCTGCAAATCAGCTTGATATTGGATTATTTTCTTTAGAAACACATACTCACCTAGAAATAGATTTCTACTGAAAACTATTATTTTACTCTCTCAAAGTCATTTAAGACATTTCACATACACATTTAAAGCTATTGCCACATCAAACACAGAAGACAATAAAACAGCAGGATATGGAATTAGTATCAGACGAGTCAACTATTCCACTGAACAAATCACAATACGTAAAAAATGTAACATGTGAGGATAAGCCACTAAGTTTTGGCTCCCAAACAAGACCAGCTATAAGATGCTGTGTTTGCAATAAAGTACCTTAGCAAGATCTTCTTTTAATTTGTTGTACTGCACCACATCAAAATGCTGTCGCTTTGATTTCTTATGAAAGAAGTGAAGAAACTGCCTACTCTTAATAGCTGAGTAAGTATAATCCTAAAAAAAAGAGAGAACATGTTTTAAATGAACATAATGCCTCCACAAGAAAGATATTTGCCTTAGCGGCACCCAAGCAAAGGCAGATGGGTTCAATATCTGCGGGAGCTACCAGAGCCAGCATGAGGCAACACAAGTAAAACATTTAGTCTCATCTGAGATCAGCTGCTCCTTTCAAAAGCAAATAAACTGGGAAGAAAAATCACATACTGGGATAGAAGGAAGAGAGAGGACAATGGAGATATTGGCAAAATAAACATTAGTTAAAGCTAAAGTTACTGAGTGTTTTGCAACACAAATTCAATTTTATTTATAGATGGGGGAACAAAGAATGTAAATTTCATGTGATGATCTCAATGGAGGAATCTGTGAGTTGTAATATTTATTTTTCTATAGGAGTTACATACAGTCTCCTGGGCTATATATAAATCTCCATCCTCCTAAAAAAAAATTTATTGTCTTACAAAAACCAGATATCAGTATTCAGTAAATAAAAAGGCTTCATTGCTTATTACTTGACTTGGATAAGAAAATATTTGCAGATGTTCTGACTTACTATTTTCCTAACAAACTACTCACCTGTCGAGTGACTATGAAGTATGCAAAAAAGACCATGGAATTTGCAAATGTGATGAAGTATGTAACTGGTTCCATGATATCCCAGGAGTACACCCACCAAGTGAGCCAAGCCAGTGCCCCACCCTGAATGGACAGCAGCGCTAATCCAGCCCAAAGGACTCCACTGGTTTTGGCTTGTGAGCGAGCTTCAATTCTGGCTTTCATCTGAGGGGGGAAAAAAAAGACAGTTCCGTTTACAAGAAGAAAAGGAACAACAATAATGCATATCTGTGTTACTTTAAAGAGGCTGATTTATGAAGTAACAACTTAAAAAAAAATTCCATTAATGAGGGATCGCCTGTTTCCAAATCAGTTAATTAATAAATCATTTTTTTAATTATAAAGATAATACCTTCTCATAAAAAAAAATTAAATAGAATAGATGGGTACACAATGAAAAACTCAGAAGCCAACCTCTGAGACCTACTTAAAATCACATGCTGATTTTCTTCAACCCAGCAATTTCACTCCTGGGAATTCATCCTACAGGTGCTCTTACATACATGTAATTCATTTCTAAGTATAAAAGACCAAAAATTGTCCATATATTCACCAAGCTACTATGCAACTGTAATGAAAAAGCTCTCCATGCTCCTATGTGGAGCTCCTCCCAGGATACAGGCATACCTCGGACATATTGCAGGTTCAGTTGCAGACCACCCCAATGAAGCAAACATTACAATAAAGTGAGTCATGCATTTTTTTGGTTTCCCAGTGCATGTAAAAGTTATATTTACACTATACTGCAATTTATTAAGTGCTGGGGAATGCCCTGCCTGGTTTCAGGAACTAACCCTGCCGACAGGCTGGAGGGTCCCAAGGCTAGAAATAATCAGGAGGCCTTGGAGAGACAGGCTCCTGAGGAGACACACCTGTCGCCCCTGGCAGGGGCGTAGCTCCTGCCTCTCTGCTTTGCCTTGTGATGGTCTGTCAATGACGGGTAAGACCCCCTCAGGGGAGGGGCAACCTAAGCCAGACATCGACCAGTATAGGCAGCAGATAAGAAATTGGGGGACACAAAGAAAGGGCAAAAAGGCCCCTGCACCTCTCGGCTTGGCTTGGACGTGGCCAGAGTCCTTCCTATAGCCGAAAAGCAGTCTCTTTATATCTTGGTGGTTCCCTCCCCATACCTGGCTCAGGCTTGAAACAGTGCAGGAATAAGCCCTAAATCAGATCTGGTGGCTCCCGGGGAAATCAGGCCTAGAGGTAAATTCTTTGAAGTGTGTTTTGTTCTTCCCTCAGATCTCCGGCCAGCTCATGCTGTGAAGGACATTTATATTATTTATACCCCTTACCCTATTTAATTAAGGTGCCTGCCCTTATCTTTAGTCTCTTTTGTTTATACTAGTCTCCTCTCGGACCCATGTAAATCAGTGTATTCCTGTCACTTGTCTTCTTAAAGGCATCATATATTCTCTGTGAAACTTAACATACTAATGTAATGAGATAACATATGCATTCCTGTTACCCGGCCCCACTGATAAAATTTTCAATAAAAGCCTTGGAACAAAGGGCATCGCAGCCTTCCCCACTAGAGAGATGAGTCATGGCCTTCTCTGCTGAGAGAGAAGCGCCCCTGTCTGCTCTCTCAGCAAACAGGGAAGTGTTTGCGATGATTTGTGTTTATCCCCCTCATCCGTGACAACCCTGGGACAGGCTCTGCGGGATTCAGAGACCTGCTCCCATCTCAGCTGGCCCTCGCCAGTTTGCCTCAGATTCAGGGAGCACGGCCCTCTGCGATGCGCTCCGTCCCCCAGCGCGGGGGTTGCTGCCTGGGCCAGGCCAAGCAGCGGCCCCAGTGGTGCCACCTCGTGGTGGCGCGCCCCATCTAGCCACCACGCAGCGCAACAATCAAGTGTGTAATAGCATTATGTCTAAAAAGAAACATACATATCTTAATTTAAAAATACTGCTCAAAATGCCAACCATCATCTGAGCCTTCTGTGAAGCATTTATCTTTTTGTTGAGAGTCTTACCTTCAATTTGGAAAAAATGCAATATCTATGAAGTACAATAAAGTGGAGAGAAATAAAATGCGGTATGCCTGTACATTATTAGTGAAAAAAGGTGAGAGTAGTGCATAATAACCCGTTGAAAAGGGGAAGAAATAATAATATATTTGTATTTGTACATAAAATCTGAAATGGTTCATAGTTTAGGACTACGGTGCTGTGAGGACAGTGGGAGGAAAAACTTTCGATCAGTAACTTTTTATTAATCTTTTTAATCAATGTAAGTAAATATATCATCAACCTTTTAAAAAGAAAAAAATAAAATCGAGGCACATAATCCAACAATAATATAAAAAGGTCCCTCTCTCTGCCATTTCCTAAATATCCTAAGAGTTAATCACTATGAAAAGTTTTTCTCTCCAGAAACTTCCTATTCATATACGAAGTTACAGAGACACCCACCTATATTTAAAAAGCACAAGTGGAATCACAGGTGTAAAAAATGCAGCTTTTTTTCCCTTAGATTAAAACAGATTCCACTACCTTCCCCCAAAAGTTATTTTTTTCCTCTGTCATTGATTAACATCAGATGTTAGGAGGCCATCACTGACTTTCCAGTTCCAATTCTGTGAAGCAGAGCTGGGGCCGTGGGCCTTTTCTCTAAAAGAAAAACAGTGGTAACCAGTGCAGCCAAGGCATCCCAGCTCGCGTCGCCCTCACGTACAGAGACATTACGGCCCGTCCGTGGAGACGAAGCAGAGCACAGAGTTTAAGGCAGCAGCTCTAGAGTCAGACCACCGGAGTCCACGTTCTGGCTCTGCTGCATGTTATCTTTGTACCTTTGCTGTCTTAGTTTCTCCATCTGAAGAATGAGAAAGATAACAGTACCCAACTCGTGGCTCAGTGTGAGGATTAAAGGAGGAAATGAGCGTAGGTAAAACATTCAGAAAATGCTTACATGGACAGCCCTCAATAAAAACTGGGTACTATTCTCAGACTCAACTGTGATGCTTCCCAACCTGTTCAAGGGGCTGCAGCTGTCCCTTCAGGTGGTCAATTTTCTCCAGTAAATGATGCTCTCTCTTCTTCTGAAACTCTTCTAGATGCAAGGCTGTAAAAAGTCTGTGAACCAAGGACTTCATGTTTTCCATTTCAGCAGTGTGCTCACTACTCAGTTTTTCTGAGAAAAGAGAAACATAAGGCAGTCACCCCATTTTTCCCTCCAGGGTCCGTAAATCCAGGGACCCAAATCTGATTCCCCGGGGCAGGCCCCTTAGCCTCCCTGCTCCTAGGGGCACACTTGGTGTGGGCCTTTCTTCCAGTCTCAGGTGACTCCATTAGTCCCTCTCATATAGAGACAATCTGGAATGATAAATTACCAGTCGGTTTAAAATGATTATGTTTTTGTCTTTTTTTCCTTTGTAATATGACTTTTGCTGTTTCTTTAAGAACCTTCATACAGAAAGGGTAAGGAGAACATCCATCTACCAGAACCCAAGTGGACATCTCACCTTTGTTTGTAACACATTAGTTTACAGTCTCGCTCTTACACCTGAGTTCAACCCAAGATCCCTCGCCCTACCCTCCAACCATCTATCCAAAAATCATTTAAGGATCCAGAGGGGAGGGAAGCTGGTGTACAAACATGTCACCAAAAGTATAATACATTTGAAAAGCAATTCAAGTGGAAGTCCTTTACAAGGTGTGAATCTGAAAGGAGGTTCAGATTGACAAGAAAGGGAGTCACCATTTCTGAGTCTTTCACAGAGAGTTATTCTGATTATGGATTTCTCTCAGCCCTTCACCTCTGTGGATCTATGAATTCACATGACCTTGGGCTGTCACGATACCTTCCTGAGGGTCATACGTGTTCCCCACCCGTGGAAGGGAACTTGAGGGAAGGGGACAGGTGAGAGGAAGGGAAGGTGGACCTTCCTGCTCAGGACCAGAGAACAAATGCAGACAGAGAGACAGACGTAGGATCCTGGAGTCAGTATTAACCCAGTGATTTTCCAGGTTTTGCCTGCAGTTCTGAAGTTATTTCTCTTCCATCTCCACCTACTTCTTCAAGACTTTATTATAGTCTTTAATTCCTGCTACATTCTAACTTAAAGCTGCCTCAAAGAGGTAAAAACCGGATGTTCCCTTCTCAGCTTTTGAGATTTGCAAAACAGTCAAAGGTTTTGACGGAATATATATTGACATTTAAAAGTCTCCATATAGGAGAAAGGTATAGATGGGGCACAATTTTGTCAAAAGCTGTGGAATGTATCAAAGATAAATGAAACCAGACACTAGTCAAAAAGGTAAAGACAGATTTGATTCAGTAACTATTGCAGCAGGGACGGGGATCCAGCATGATCTGAACACAACGTTCATTTGCCCAGAGGTGCCTGGATATTTTAAGAGAGGGAGGGAGGGGGGGAACATCAATGGCTCAGGCAAAGTGAGGGAAGTGGAAATTTACAAAAAATGAGAATGGGGCTGGTTACTGAGACTAGGACATTTTGACCTGGCCTTACCCAGAAGAGAAGCAAACAGAAGCACAATGTGCAAGTCAGAGTAAAGGGCCCTGCCAGGCTGTGAGTGACAGCAAGACTGACCTCCTTGCATGCTTGCATTTCAAAGAGGAGCCAGCTCTGGGTGGTAGGAGATTGACACTCCAAAGGAGTAAAGAATGAGTTTATAATTGCAAGCTTTCTAAAGTGACTGCTCTGAGAGAGCGCACAGACCTATCGGCCCAGTGCCAGGTTTTCACAGGAACAAACAGTAAATTCCGCTGCCAGTGCTGAGCTCTGACAGGCAAGCGTTTTAATGGGCCAGGAGTCACCATCCTAAGATTATGGCCTTGAGCTGTTAGAAATTATGCTGGTGTTAATTTAAGTCATTTAGTGTATATGGTGGGCGTAAACAAAATCTATTGTGCTGAGAGTCCATAGTTTTTACAGGCCAAGGCGAGGCCTAGTTAGGAAGAGGGCTCAGACAAGCCTGTCTAAAGTTTGGTCAAGGAGATAGTCTTTGTTAAGTGACACAAAATAATTAACGAGTTCAAGGACAGAAACTTTGGCTACACTCTTTCAGAAATGTGGGCATTGCAGAATTCATATGTTTTATTACCAATTTAAACATTTATCTCTGGTATCTCCTAACACAAGCCAAAATGGGAAAGAATTATTTTCTTTTTCTTCAGAAGCTATGCATTCCTTTTATATGTGCCTTCAGTGTAGATTTTATTTTCATACCCTGAATTTTTAAATTGAAATTTGACAATGCTTTGGGAAAGAAATGGAGTTTAAATACATTTTTTTAAAACCTGCAAATTTATCATTTTATAAACTTCATTGTCCATTAACTTAGTAGAATTCCTCTGTCATTTTCCCTCCAACCATCCCAACTGCACCCTGCTAATTTAATTTACACTGTGAGGCTGGGCGAGTCTGAGTCAATGTTCAGTGAAGCATCTCATCACCTTGAGGACAGTGAGGCCTGCGTGCACAGGCCGCATGTCTGCACGGGAGGCCTAACTCCTATCCACTGAAAACTTACCTGCTTCGGTTCCTATTGCCCAATACATCATGTACAGTTTTCAACAAAATATTACAAGGCAAGGAAAAAAAACAGTATGAAGAACCAAAACAAGAATCAGAACCAGAATCTGATATGGCAGAGATTTTGGAATTATCAGACCAGGAAATTAAGACAAATAAGATTAATGTGGTAAGGGCTGTGATGAAAAAAGTGGACAACGAGTAAGAAAAGATGCGTAATGTTTATTAGGTGGAAATTCTAATAAAAATATCAAAAACAGCCCTGGCTGGTGGCTCAGTGGGTTGGAGCACTGTCCCATATACCAAATGGTTGTGGGTTGGATCCCCATTCAGAGCACCTACAGAAGGCAACACATCAGTGTTTCTCTCTCACATTGATGTTTCATTATCTGACTGCCCTCGCCCATCCCTGCTGCCTTCTTCTCTCTCTAAAATCAATAAAAATATCCTCGGGTGAGGATTTTTTAAAAAATCAAAAACAACTGCCAGAAACCGAAAACATGTAATAGTAATGGAGAATGCCTATGATGGGCTCAACAGTAAACTAGCCAAAGAGGAGGGAGGAGTCAGTGAGCTTGAGGATATGTCTATAAAACTTCCCAAAATGAAAGACAAAGACAAAGGAGAACAGAAAAAAAGGAACAGAATACCCAAGAACTGTGGTACAATTACAAAGGTAATTATAACATGCAAAATGGCAGTACCAGATGGAGAATAGAGAAAGGAACAGAAGAAGAGCAATTTGAGATAACTATAATTAACATGATAATGACTCTGCTAAAAGTAGATAACATGCAAGAACAGACGAGTAATAAAAGCAGAGAAATGTAAACTCTAAGAAAGAATCAAAATGAAATGCTAGAGATCAAAAACACTATCAGAAATGAAGAGTACCTTTGACAGCCTTATTAGTACATGGAACATGTCTAAGGGAGAATTTCTAAGTTTCAGGATGTCAATACAAATTTCCCAAACTGAAAAATAGAGAGAGAGAGAGAGAGAGGGCACACGTGTACACTGAACAAAACAGCAGGATAGCAAAGAACTCTGGTATACTACAAAAGGTGTAATATACATGATTAGGACTATCAGAAGAAAGACAAGAAAAGGAAAAGAAGGAAGGAGGGAAGGATATTTGAAGCAATAATGACTAAAAATTTCCCATATTAATGTCAGACACCAAACCATAAACAGATCCAGGAAGTTTGGAGAATATCAGGAGGCTAAAAGCCCCCAATCTCCCTAATCTAGGCATAACAGAGTAAACTGAATAAAATCAAAGATAAAGAAAAAGTCTTGAAAGAAGACAGAGGAAAAAACACCTTACCTATAGAAGAGCAAAGATAAAAGTTACATCTGACTTCTCCCAAGAAACTATAAAAGCAAGAAGGGAGTAGAATGAAATATTCAGAGTGTTTAGAGAAAAAACTCACCAACATAGAATTCTATATCCTTCAAAAGTGAAATTAGAAACAAAGAACAATGGCAAAGAAATATAAAACAGTAACAAAAATTCTCAACAATATATTAGCAAATTGAATGCAACAATGTATAAAAAGACATACACCATGATCAAGTGGGTTTTATTGCAGGCATGAAAGACTGACTCAAAAGTGAAGGATACAGAATTTGAGAGAAATGAAGATTCTCAAATAAACAGAAATAAAAGGAATTCATTGCTACTACATCTGCTTTGCAAGAAATGTTTAAAGATCTTAAGGGAAGGAAAATGATATAGGTCAGAAACTCAAATCTAAATAAAGAAAGAAATTCTACATTAAAGAAAGAATAAGGGAAGATAAAAATGAAACTTTTTCTTTTTCCTTATTCTTAATTGATGTAACAGAACACTTCATTCAAAATAATGATACTAAAAATGTATTCAATGATTATAGCTTATATGTAAGTGAAATGGATGACAAGAAATGGGAGAGAAGGATTAGGTACAGATGGTTATTATAAGGTACTTGCAATGCTTATGAAACACTATATATATCGTTATTTGAAAGTAGACTTGGATTACTTGTAAATTTATATTGCAAAAGCTGGGGCAACCACTAAAAATATTTTTAAAAGAATCATTACTGATATGCTAAAAAAAGGAAATAAAATGGAATCATATAAAATGTTCAATTAAAGCCACAAAAAGCAGCCCTGGCTGGTGTGGCTCTGGGGATTGAATTCCAGCCTGCAAACCGAAAGGTCAGTGGTTCGATTCCCAGTCAGGGCACATGCCTGAGATGCAGGCCAGGTTCCCAGTTGGGGGCATGTGAGAGGCAACCAGTCGATCTATCATCTCTTGCACATTGATGTTTCTCTCCCTCTCTTTTACCCTCCCTTCTCCTCTCTCTAAAAAGTAAATAAATAAAAATAATCTTTTCTAAAAACCCACACAAAAGCAGAGAACATGTGAAAGACAAAATTAGAAACAAAGAACAATGGCAAAAAAATAAAAAATAAAACAGTAACAAAAATTCTCAACAATATATTAGCAAACTGAATGTAACAATGTATAAAAAGACATACACCATGATAAAGCGGGTTTTATTGCAGGCATGAAAGACTGACTCAACATTTGAAAATGAATTAATGCAATCCATCACATCAACAGGCTAAAGAAAAAAAAAATCAC